ATTCCAACACAGATAACATATTATTAACCAATCCAAATACTATACAATACTTTATTTAAACTTCCACTATACCAAAAATAGGGAGATCGCTAAGCGGGGAATAATCAAATCATAATTGATTGTAAATTTTTTTTTACAACTCGGGGTATAATTTATATAAAAGACCCTTTTATGGATGGTAAGCCGCAAATTTTCTCACGTTAACTGGCTTCATAAGAAATACACCTTCGAAAAGTTTAAAAAGATGTCTGATAATTTCAGCAGTCAAGAATTAATCAAACTTGAACATATTTATGGAGCCCACAAGTAAGTTTTATAATTAAGTAAGGATCTCTTGAAATAAATTTATCGATATAAGTCGATTTAATCTTAACTTGTTTGTATTAGTTACCATCCGATTCCCGTGGTCTTTTCCAAGGGTCAAGGTGCTTTTGTGTGGGATCGAGAAAATAGAAAGTATTTAGATTTCTTGTGTGCCTATTCTGCTGTGAACCAAGGTCATTGCCATCCAAGAATTGTACAAGCCCTTTGTGACCAAGCACAAAAGCTTTGCTTGTGCTCTAGGGCATTTTATAACGACATTTTCGGACAATATGCACAATACATCACTGAGGTAGAGCATTAAGGTTTTCGAGTTTCTTATTGGCTTTTTCGTTTAACATTGTGCCTCTGTAGTATTTTAAATACTCAATGGTCCTTCCGATGAATACGGGTGCTGAAGCCGTGGAGACGGGGATCAAACTCGCTCGTAAATGGGGTTACCTTAAGAAGGGTATACCAGAGAATCAAGCAATTGTATTATCATGTGAAGGGAACTTTCATGGCCGTACCACAACGGTCATATCTATGTCGACCGATCCGGACTGTCGTACAGGTTTTGGTCCATATATGCCACTAGTTGGACCTGTTTGTCCAAAGACTGGCCGGAAAATAAGATACAATTCCGTTGAGGATTTAGAGGCTGTATTAAAGGAGAATGCCCATAATGTAGCGGGCTTTTTGGTAGAACCTATTCAAGGGGAAGCTGGGTGTGTTTAAATTGTACTTTTTTTTTTTTTTTCGTGAATTTAAACTTTAATTATTTACATGTTATATTATCATCATTATTAAGCGTAAATGTACCCGACGACGGATACCTGAAAAAATGTTCTGATCTCTGCAAAAAGTACAATGTACTTTTGATCGCGGATGAAATTCAAACAGGCCTCGCTCGTACTGGTAAGATGCTTTGTCAGGAACACGATGGTGTTAGGGCGGACATCGTCCTACTAGGCAAGGCACTTTCTGGCGGTGTGTATCCTGTGTCAGCCGTCTTGGCTGATAAAGAAATTATGCTTTGCATCCAGCCTGGTGAGCACGGTTCGACCTACGGTGGTAATCCATTGGGTAGTGCAGTTGCAATTGCCGCGCTGGAGGTAATTAAAGAAGAAAATTTGGTAGAAAGAGCCGCCTCGCTAGGTGAAATGTTTCGTGAGGCCCTTCGCAGAATTGAGTCCCCCCTTATTAAATGTGTTAGAGGGAGAGGGTTGTTGAATGCGTTAATAATTGATGAAAGCAAAAGTGATAAAAATGCATGGCATTTATGCCTACTGCTCAAATCACGTGGATTGTTGGCGAAACCCACTCATGGGAATATTATTCGCCTTGCACCAGCACTAAACATCAGTGAAGAAGACCTGATGGTCGGAGTTAGAATTATTGAACATGCATTGAAAGATATCGTTAATATAAACGTAAACGATATCCCAGGATATTTAGAAGACAAAAAATTATATGAAAATAGCTCATAAACTAGGAAACGGAATTGTTGAGGTCCAGAGCCCTAGTATTCTATTATTTCATTTTTTGTGCATTTGTTTTCGCACGTATTTAATATATATATTTAATTAATATCCATTGTTAGTTTGCACTTTTTAGTTTTATACGTGCTTATATTCTTGACACAAACAAAGCTATATTCACTATTTGGTTGCATTTTTTTTTAGTATATCATTGATGTTATTTGAAAAAATGTGTATATTCAGTGTTGGCCCTGGACCTATTTTTATACTATTTGACTAGACATAATACTTGGACATATGTCCAGTCCAATATATCCAATAATTTTAAACGTTAATGTTAATAGTTAATAATGTTCAATATCCACTACCTTCTGGGTATATGAAATCGTGTGATATGGAGACTATTCAATTTGATTGGCTAATTGTCACATGAATATGGGCTTTAAAGTTTTGTGGAAAATAAATTCCATAATTATAAACTTTAGAAAATAATAATATAAGTAAAAAAATATTTTGGAGATTTGTTAATAAAAAAAAGATTTTTGAAAAAATTGTCAATTTGGTTTCTTTTTTCAGCATCTAGCCAGGACC